TCCACTGATCATTTCCCTTATTTCCCTCTTGAAAAAAATTGAGACAAATTCCCCCACTTGGACATTTTGGCAAAGATCTTCCTGATTTGAAAAATTGAACACCCTGACTCAACAAGTTAAGCCTGCTATGCTATTAGTGATGGAATGCTTTTTGAATGGCATCAACAATAACAATACTACTGTGAGCTAATGAAGAGAACTGCAGTTGCCTTCACATCACCTTAATAGTTACAGTGGCTTAAATGATATTAACAACAAAAATTTTTAAAGACCTATATTTTCTTTTTTCATCTGAATTTTGAATGCAGAGTTGTGTATTTAATTCAGTGGCATTTGTAAGAATAAAAAGAGTCATTCTATATATATGGTGACAGAGGAAAATATAAAAGAAATAAAAACATCAGAATAAAATCTAATTATATTTTGGATGATACATGATATTTAAATTTTAGCAATATTAGTATTATTTAAAATAAATATTAAAATGTCTTAAGATATTTATTTCACGTTTTTTCCTGGGGAGTAACTTAATATCCTAATATGTTTAACTAAGGGTATTCTAGTCTTAAGAAATTTCACCTTTCTTTCAGTCCTAAAGTTATCTATAAACTGCAAATTCTGTATACCTCTGCACTAGAGCAATAATATAGCGGTTAAGGTGCTTTGCTTTATCTGTGGCTACCCAGGTTCAATTCCTGGAACTGGCCCAAGTGAACCCTGAGCACAGAGTCAGGAAGAGTCTCTGATGACCTCTAGACCTGGTTCAACTTCCAGCCTAACCACACAAAAGAAAGAAGATAAAAATAATAGTAATAATAATAGCAATAAGATACAATTTTAAACTTTTTAAATATTTAAAATTAAGTTTAAAAACAAATTCTGCACTTCCTTTCCAATTCTAAAAGCTATAGTTTTGTTGTAATTTATGTTTAATTATCCACAGAGAAAAAAACAACCTATTCAGCTTTTATCTTTGTTTTTTGACATTTTATATTTTTATTTTCATTACATTAATAATACTTTCTAATTTCTCTTTTTTCAGCTTTTGTCTTTAAAATCACATAAACTACTGATGAAATATGGAAAATTCAGCATACATTTTAAATTTCCACTTAAAAAACTAAGAGCCGTTATTTCTAGACAGTTTGGAGAAACTTTAATTAAAATGACAAATTTAGAGGTTATTTTATTCAAACAAGTCTATTTCTACTCAGTTTCGTATAATTCAAACCAAATAATTGATAAGCACAAAAGTGCAAAATTTTAAAACCGTTAAAACTAGTTACACCTTGTCCCTTTATAAAACTTTTCTCTTCTGTTGACTTTTTTCTATAAGATGAACTTGTTTTTAAAGTATGAGCTGAGGAGTCAAAGTGGTAGTACAGCAAGTAGGGTACTTGCCTTGCATGCAACCAGACCAGGTTCAATCCCTGGCATTCTATTTGGTCCCCTGAGAAGCACCAGGAATAATTCCTGAGTGCAGAGCCAGGAGTAACCCCTGAACATTGCCAGTTGTGGCCCAAAACTCCCCCCAAATTTAAAAATAGTCAGAACTGAGGGCTGAGCTATGCCTCAAGAGACTGGGGCACTGCTTTGCCTACAAGATGCTGTGTTCAGACCCCTGCACTCTCTGTTTGTTTCCGAGCATTTTCATGCCCCCCCCAAAAAAATCTTTTAATCCAAATTTTTAAATAAAGTAGAAACAATAAATTTTTTAAAAATTGTAGTTAGCATATAGCTAACTAGCATATGCTATGGTGATTTTTGACCTTTGCTCTCTGTTCATACACTGAAGCAACAATTTCCTAAAAGTACTCTACTTTCCACTTTTCTCACTTGAAAAGCCAAGGGAAGAGACACTAAGGTCACCCATGCACCAAACCAAGACTTCGCTTTGCCCTCCATAGGCTGTGGAATTCAGTGATTCCATTGCAAAGGGTTGAATAAGGTTGGGTTGGGTTCCTAAGGAGCAGCGAAAACCTGCTCACTGTTTTCTACACTTCAGGTCTCAGAGGGTTGCAAGCATGACTGAGAATTACATTTAAGCAGATACATGGCAAGTAATTGAGGGTTAATTTTAAGACCATTTAGTTTAGGAGGCACTAATGAAAATGAATGGATATTTATCCAACTCACTTTCACAGAATTAGGCGCTAATCTCAGGAGGGAAAAAAAGAAACTTCATCTATGGCTTCTCTAAATTAAAGAAAAAGACAGGCACTTTGCCAATTTTTTAATGTGTGGCAATCATGTCCATCACTCTGGATCTGGGTGGTATGTATGCACATCATTGTTCATATCTACAGCATAGAGTTTTGACAAGATGTAAATTCTGTGCTGAAACAGATCGTGAACTGCTTGCATCATTTTATATTATGGCAAATATAAAATGCAGGCTATTTCATGTTGCCAGTTGATTGCTGCTTTGTGATTACCAGTGAATTTACCCATTTCCATATAAATTCTAAACATAACCATGTCTCCAAAGATGCATGTAATTACCCTGTATGACGCAGCAATTACATGAAGATGACATCCTTGCATGCTTCTGTTTCATATAAACTCAAGCATTAAGCAGGAAGCGAGAGGATGTGTGGTTCATGACCTTGGGTAATCACTGCTAATAATCCCCCCGATGGCAAGCTTGACATCGAAATGAAACAGGGCTCAGCACTTGCTACTTAAACATATCTCAAATTATAAATTATTTTTTATTCCCCTTGAATCCCAAAATCAGTTTAATCAGAAGTTTTTTCTGTAGAGAAAACATAGTCATTTCTAATGCCTACAAATCAACTGTAGAAGAGCTCTTGAACCAAAATATAACATAAAAGAACAGAATAACTGACAATCTGACTCAGCAATGGAGTACTTGCCTTACATGTGTGAGGATCTAAATACAATTACTAGAACTGCTCCCAAAATTAATAATAATAAAAATTAGGCTTCGCAAATATTTTAATCTTTAATGGCCTTGCATATATTTTTTAATGAATGGAATAAAACAAAATTCTCTCAGGCCATCATTATTACCATCTACCCTTGATAAAAGTTGCATAATTTTTTTTTACAACCTAAATAGTTTGTATGTAAAGTGGAATACAGAATACATTCTATTTTGTGTTTTCATGTTGATGGAGTAATGGTACATCTCCCACCTTTTCCTATGACAACCTTTGTGATGTGCCATGATGTTATTTCCATATTTTTAATTTTTTAATTGACACTGTCTCTATCTATAACTTCATACTAACTTTCAAGACCTGCTTGACTAAAGGAGTACGTGAACTCATTTAGGTCAGATGTAATTTTTACTCCTTAGCTTATAAAATACTGGTGATTCATTGTCAATTGACAGTGTAAGTAGTATGAAATGTATTATAATATCAGTATAGGTATATGCATATCTATGTATATAAACATTGGTAAAGCCACAGTAAAAACATTTTAAAAGTTAATTATTTCCATAAACACATATATTAAAATTTAAAATATCAATTCTAATAAGCAGTAGATATAGAGTGCAGACAAGTCAGACAAGGGAAGAATATTATAGTGTTGCTTTATTTTTATTTTTACCTATAGACATATATATGTATATCACCATTAGTCTTAATCATAAGAAGGCTTAACTCGAATATTGACTTGCAAGAAATAAATAATAATGCTGAGACAATCCACATTCTTTGAAGAAATCATATTCCAAAGTATCAGAGCCAAATCTCTGCCCCTCTATAACTTTTTAACCCTGACACTTCATTTTTGATCTTAAAAGTTAAACCTGATATTGAATTGAATGTTTTAGGAATTTTTTGATTGGTTAGTTGATTGATTAAATGATTGTATCTGTTTTTTAACAAGAAAATCTTTTGTTTTTTAACAAATTGCTTTTTAACAATTTTCTATGAAGGAAAATGTCCCAAGAATAAACATAATGACTTATCCAATATATCACCATGGGGTAAAAAAGGAAAGAAATGTTGACCTACACATTTCAAAAGCTACAAAGCTACCATATTTTACCACACGATTGTCACTGATTTGATGATTTTTTTTTCTTCAAAAAGTGGTATGTTACCATTAAGTGAAGGTATATTTTACAGGTTATAAATCAATTTTTGGATGAAAGCAAACAGGGTGGGACAATTATGCATTGAAATATTATAGTATTATTTCCCTTCAAACTAATGGAAACCTACATCATTCCAATTTGTGGTTCAGCCTTTAAGCAAAATATACATTAAGTAAAATATTCCATACCAGAATATGTAAAGAATTAAGAAAGCATCCTAATTACTTTTTATTATATAAAATTGTATTGTCTTATTCACAGACTTTATAATGAAAAACACTTATCTCAGATTATGCTTATGTTGATTTTTATATTGCAGAATCTATTTTTTTTCATGGTTGTTGATCGAGGTTGCATTAAAAACTACTAGTATGCAAAATAGACATAATGTCTAAAAGCTTATCACCAAACTGTTATGTATATAGTATATATACATATACCTGTCCTAAATCATAAAGCAAAATGGACTTTGAATGAACAGTGTATTCGTATTATATTTTTAAAATGTTCAGCACTTTTCAAATATTGAATGAAACAGATAAACCCACTTGAATAATTTAAAACATAATTTACAGTGATGGCATATTGATTTATCCTGGATATACAAACTTCTCGTGGCATTCATTAAGCCATCTGAAAATGCCCTAGCAAATGGAATCTCCATTATGATATGTTAGCAGTAAAGAGCTTGGTGCCACATATCCCTGCAAGTTTTCAGTTTATTAACTTCCATATCATAAAGATGATATTATGGAAGACTGAGAATAAATGAATGAACCTGAACTTTCCCTGTTTGTCAAAGTATTTCATTAGTGGACATTTTTCTTTAAGTAAGTGATGCATTGAAGTAAATTGATGCCCCTGTGTTGATAACCTTTCTCAGTCATGCAGACTTGTCTCCAGCCTATGTATTGTCTTGTTTCTACAGAGTGTTATTGTAACCCTTTGGGCTCAGTCCATGATCGTTGTAATGGCTCAGGATTTTGTGAGTGTAAGACTGGAACAACAGGGCCTAAGTGTGATGAGTGTCTGCCAGGAAATTCCTGGCACGACGGCTGTCAACGTAAGTAACTCTGGGAGCTGCCCTCTGTCTCAGCAGCATGGCTAATTCTGCTTGTGTAGGCTGGTGTGTGCAGCTTCTCAGAGCAGAAAAAGCCCCAAACCGCTGACAAGCTTTAAATGCTACTTAATGCCCCAGCCAATGTATAGGGGAAAGAATAATCCATCACAGCGCTCCAGCTGGCTTCTTTGAAACCCATCTCCATCCCGTAGATGGCTGGAGCAACTTACATTGAAATATTGTAAGCAGATCCGTGTACCTGGCCAGACCATAAATTAAGTAGCACAATAGGGACATCATATGGAAATTGTCCCTGCAAAATGAAGGGTGATCTGTATGTGGTTAATATATTTCTTGAACTGAAAACTACCCTGGAGCTCCAGAGTTCATAAATTAAACGATATCTACATAACTTATGACCGTTCCTTGCTCTCATACTTATCCCTGAATCTTAACCAAAAGCCCCCAAGATAATAAATCTGAGGGATATTTAAATGCCAGGGTAAAATAAATGACAAAAATCAATATTGATTTTAAGCCTCTGAGGTTAGGCACCATGCAGTGAGCTCTAGACAGATGCCATTTGGTTCAGCCTCATTTCTCTGAGGATTATCAGACCTTCTTAAAAGCTTGTCAGGGCAGGTGGCCTGTCGGTGTATTCAGGGAACAGAAATTTAAAAATCTGAGCAGAGGCTTCCTCTGTCATTCATAACCTTTTTCTGCTTCTTTAATTCTGCACTAATGTTCCATCTCTCTATACACACTCAGCTTACTAATATCAAAGAGTCACAAAGCAAATCCTTTGGAGCAATGCAATCTAGTAGGAATGCATGCAAGTCACATATGGAATTTTAAACCTTTTGTTAACCACACTAATGAAGAAAAAAAGAAGAAATTGGTCTTTACTGAGCTCAAAATATTTAGAATGTTATTCTTTTAATGCATATAATAGCATCAAAATTTTAGTGTAATTTACACCTCTTCATACTGTCTTTGAAAAGAAGCCCATTTTATACTTAATAGAATATCTCAGTACAAGTTCTACTATAGCTACAAAACTTTATAGCTACGTATGCCAACCATGTTGGAAAGCTCAGCTCTGGAGGGGTTTTTTGTTTGTTTGTTTGTGCTTACTGTTCTCTTGGGCAGAGGTGGGGGGGAAATGGAGGGGGAACCAGTGGTTGTCAGCATGCTGGGATTGTCTAAAACCAGTTTCTACTGAGGTTATATTATATATTTCCTGCAATTTTCAAATTTGTAAATTTTCAATTTATTGTATATATTTCCCGCAATTTTCAAATGTATGTTTATCTATAAGCTACACTTGCATGTAATTCCAAAGCAACATTTATTTCCATACTAATGAACTGAGATATTTGACATTGAGTTAGGATTTGACCTAGGAATAGAAGTTAGTGTCTCCAGTCATGCTCTAAAACAAAGGTTCCCAAATATATTTGCCCCACCACCTCCCTTTTAGAAAAAAAAAATCATCCATCAGCACCCCCTAGAGATCTACTATCTTTAATTGCGCAAACAAAAAGTTCTCCCAGTTTCACCTGAGGCACCAAGCCCCCTAGATAGTATGGCACCCCTGGGTGGTATTGCCCTCTTTGGGGAAAAGTGCTGTAAAGAAAACCTTTAACACTCCATTTCCATCCAGCCCTTTTTCACCTCAAAAATTTTTATTCAACTGTAGGTACACTGGTATATCTATTTTATGCCTATTTTTGCATACAAAACAACATTTATTAATGGTCAACCATAAAGTTACTTATTTTAAAATAATTTTTTTAATGTATGCAACCAATATATGATGCTAGGCAGTAGAGGGTTGTTTAAAGAGGAGACCAAAAGGACAGCCACAGGGCTGGAGAGTCAGAGATTCAGAGATAGTATCGAGCCTAAGGCACATCTTTAATGTGACTGACCCCTAACTCTATATGGTGCCCCAAATGCCAGGTGTAGCCCTGGATGGCTCTGAGCACTGTCCAGGTGGTTAAGGTTCCTCTTGGCGTGGCAGGATTTCTGTATATGTAGGTTCTTGCATTGAACCACAGGCCTGGTTGACTTGAGGATCACCAGGAGGGCCTCAGGCCTCCAAAGTATTGTTTGGACATTCCCCACCCCTAAATCCCCTGAAGCATGTGCACGCAGCATGTGCACACGCAAGTGAAAGCACGCTTGCGTGCACACGCACACACACACACGTCATTTAACATAGCTTCACATAAGTTCTGGGAAAGGTTTCCAAAAGGCACCTTAGGCATCTGGGTCAGTTGGTGAATCTGATAACCCATAGGAGGAACCAGCTTTTAGAGAATAGTAATCAGTCTGGAAATCAAGGCACAGAGAAGGCCAGTAGTACTGAGCAAGAGAGAAGGAACAGGTATAAAGGGCTCAAAACAGCCCTCAAGACTCAAGACATAGAGTATAAGGCATCTTTGTAATTCAGAAAAAATCCTCAAAGGGAAAGTCTCATGTAAATTTCTCAGTATAGCAGAACCTAATAGATGGGTTTTCTCTAATCAAGAAAGTACAGCAGGGGCTGGAGCAATAGCACAGTGGGTAGGGCTTTTGTCTTGCACACGTCCAACCTGGTTCGATTCCCAGCATCCCATATGGTCCCCCGAGCACACACACACACACACACACACACACACACACACACACACACACACACACACAAAAGCAAAAGACGGTAGAAATGGAAAAAATTAGACAAAACCTAGAGCAAATGTATTCCCAAAAGAACCTAATTCCATTGTCTCTCTGTGTGTGTATATATATATATATATATATATATACATATATAAAAAGATACAATATCACCATATGTTTACTTCTATAATTCTAAGTTTGGATGTAAGCATAGCCACATAAACCCTCCTTGCCTTCACTCCAGCACCTGACATACTTCGTGTATGGACCAGTGAACTCATGGGTGCGAATGCCTACTATAAAATAACCTTTATGCTGCAGATAAAGTGATAGGATAAAGCTGACACAAAGTGTGGACACTGAGGGTGCATAATCTGAGGGAAAGGAGGAAGTTGGCATATGAGTAAACAACCATGATAAAAGGTAATTAAAACTAAGGAAGGGATATGGACATGTTTTGGGGGAAGGAAGAAAAAGACTATCAAAGGAGGTCATGCTTAATTGACTTCTAAAGTACTACTAGTAGTAGACTTTTCTGATTGGGAATTCTTGGACAAATGTGCATATATTATGTACTAGATACCCAAAATGGCTTTGGATATGAATGATATGTATGTGTGTATGTGTCTGTTGGCAGGAAAGAAAAAGGTTGAAAAAGCAACCAGAGGTCAGAGCCTATGGTGACATGGAATATGGAAACTATCACACAATTTTAATTGAGGAATAGAAAAAATTATACAGTTTTATCAAAATTACTCTGGATGCTCTATTAAGAAATACAGAGAATGAGATTGAATTTTCTCTATAAGTTTAGTATATTTAATAGGCAATGGTATTATCACACTTTAAAATCTCCTTTCATTCTCTAAGTTCATTCTAACAGGGCTGATATTCTGGGCTCAAATACAGAAAGTTTAAAATCACTTAGTAAATAGCTATTGCAGGAGATTCCTACATCCCGTTCCCTGAAGTCTCACAAAGAACCACCAGTATTTGGCAATTAACAATCAATATTTTATCATAGGGTATCCCCAGCACCTATTCCTGGAGCTGGTATGTGCTTGTTGATAAATAGTTTTGTATCACTTTCATTTCTGTAAACACGTATATACCCTAAAGAAATGTCCCTTGTGTCAGTATCTTTCTTTCTTCCCTACCTCTCCTCCACCTCATCCACACACAATTCCACTTGTTCCAAATTGAACCCATCTTTGGATTGACCACATTTACCCTAGAAGCAAGAAACCAATGCCATGTAGAAACAGATGCAGAACAAAACTGATGGTGGAACTGGCATCGGTGAGCTGGAAGAAGTATACTATTGAGTAGGCATTGCAAGAGAGGCTAATGCGGTATAGGACAGATTCCCAGGAATCCCAATACAGTGCTGCAGTCACCCAAATGACTGGCCATAAGGAACTGCAGTTTGAAAGGACTTGGATTTGGAAACAGAAAATAAAGAAAGGTTCAGTTTCTGACAATGCCACATACCTTCTGTAAGTGGAACTAAGTGATTATATACTTAAGCTCTGAAATCCAATAGATTTGGATTTTAATCTCATATTCACCTCTTAGTACCTGTAAGTCTTACAGGAAATTGTTTGAATCTCTGAAGTTTTTTCATCAAAAAATGGGGATAGAACTAGGTCCTAATGCTTATATAATCACAAAGATTTAAGGAGAATAATAAATGTGGACTTCACGGTATATCCTCAGCACTCCATTACTATTACTTTTGGATACCTGTTGCAGTCTCAAAGATCTACAAAAATATTTTACACTCAGAATTTATTGAAAAATGCAAGTGCATAACAAGTAACACTGTCCACTATTGAATATCTAATTGTTGAGAGGGGCTTTTAAAAAGTCCTTGATAGGAGACAAGGCATTCAAGTGACTGAAGCAAAGCTGACCCCAAAAAGCAATTGTGTCATGAAAACTGATGCTATGAAGAGCTATGGGCTCACTGGTGATCTTTCTGCCTGAGGGGCTGTGGATTGCATGCTCCATAAATGCTTGTCTTTCTGACATAGAAGGTGAAATACTTGAAAACCATCAGAATAAATGGTCTTTAGATAGCATAGTACATACAACCCAGGGAAAAAAGCAGAAATAAAAATATTTCAAGAGGACCAAGCAGAACTAGAATTAAAATTGAAGTTATCCATGAAAAAATGAAACGTGAAGGAGAAAAAGATTTTTTTGGGGGGTCGGGGATTGGGGAGGAAGGCTGACCCATATCCAGCAGTACTCAGGGCTGACATTCAGAGATCAATCCTGGTTGACCATATGAGGTACCAAGGATCAAATCAGAATTTACCACATGCAAGTGCCTTACCCAC